ATTTATTTGTTTGCTTGTTTTATTTCGTTGGGTGTGAATGTTGTTTAAGTGGTTTTGTTATTTTTGTTTGACTTTGTTTTGCCTGTACACATATTACATGTCTGTTAGAATAATATTACCATTATCATCACCACTGTTATTATTATTGTCATTATCATCATTATCATAATCATCATCAGACCGCCAGTTTATTCATAATCATTATTTCTCCAAACCGCTAAATTACAAAGAAATAAAAACAGGAATGTTGGAGGGAAGGGAAAGAAGAAAGGGGAATAGAGAAAGGGAGGAGAAGGGGACTTAAAGGGAAAAGGGAGATAAAGAGGGGGAAGAGGAGGCGAAATGGAGGGGACTTAAAGAGGAGAGGGAGATAGGGAAGCGGAGAGGGAGGGGGGGGAGGAAGAGGGGGGGGAGGGAGGGGGAGGGAGAGGGAGTGGGGAGGGAGAGGGGGAGGGAGAGGGAGTGGGGAGGGAGAGGGAGTGGGGAGGGAGAGGGGGCACACAGAGGAAAGTAGGAAGGGAAAGAGGTGGAGATTTTAAGGAAGAAGAGGAGGAAGTGGGAGGGAAGGAGTGACTTTAAGGAAGATTTTGAAGTGGGAGGGAGTGGCAGAGCGGGCAAGGGGAGGGAGGACAAAAGAGAGAGAGATAGAAAAAGGAGGAAGAGAAGAGGGGAGAAGTACTTCATAGTTATTTCGTTCCTTGGAGTATCCACATAACAATAGTAGTAGTGGTAGTAATAACAATAATAATAACAACAACAGTGATAATAATAACAATATCAATAATAATGATAATAGTGATGAAATAACAATAATGATGATAGTAATAATATCAACAAAAATTATAAAAGTAATGGAATTATGATAATAGCAATAATGATAATAATATTTACAATAATAATAGTAATAGTAATAATGATAATACTGATAATAATAATAACAACAACAACAACAACAGCAACAAAAGATAACAGAAAGGTAAACATAACAACAACAATAATCCCAAACACAGATAAGGCCATCCACACGCATCCACACGCATCCACACGCATCCACACGCATCCACACGCATCCACATTTCCCCGTCCATCAGAACGTCCACTACAGCCCCGTGTCCGTTTGCGTGCACGCGATGGGCCAATCCTTCGCTCGAGTGAATCATCGCTTGGGACAATCGAGGTGAAAGCGATTATTCGGATAATTTGGATCCAAGGAAAGGTCAACTCCGCTTATCACTGGAATAACCGACGTAAATATTATTGTCGTGCTGGGAAATGAAGGATGGTTGGAATTTTACCTTTTTTCTGATTGTTTATGTTTTTGTTTGTTGTTGTGTGTTTTGTTTGTCGGTTGGGTGGTGGGCTTTTATATACCTTTTATATATTTTATATATTTTTTGCTTCTTTTTCGGTAAGAATAATAGTTCGTTTTTTTAATAAAAAAAAATATAGTATATCTTTTTATTGTTGTTATTATAAGACAAATAAAGAAATGAATAAAATATATTAATAAGATAAGGAAAAAATATGCATATAAAAACATCAATAATTTCTGAGAATAACGGAATAAAATAGATCTCAAAAAAATAAATAAATAAAAAGAAGGAAAGTTGCACAGTTAAATGACTAATTTCTAAAAAAAAGAATATCATAAAAAAATCATATAAAATTCTCCAAAAAAGAAAGAAAGAAAGAAAAAAAGAAAGCAAGAAAAAAGTCATAACACTAATTTAAAAAATCCTGAACATCACGGTAGTAATTAAAAAAAAAGAAAAAGAAAAGAATAAAGAAAAAAATAGGAAGAAAGAAAAAGAGAAAGAGAAAGGAAATAAAAAAGAAACAGAAGTAGAAGAAGAAGAAGAAGTAGAAAAAATCCTAACGTCCCATCACTTGCAACGCCCGTCAACTTGCAGCTGCAGCACGGCATTGCAAAGAAAACAGAAAAAAAGAAAAAAGAGAAAGAAAAACAAAAAAGAGACGAAAATGAAAAAGGAAGAAAAAAGAGAACAGGAGAAGATAAACAAGAAAAAAAGCGAGAATGAAAGAAAAAAATAGAAAAGAAACAAGAAAAAGCAGAGGCAAAGAAAATAAAAATATAGCAAAATTAAGAATAAAGAAAAAATAGAAAAAAGGTAAAAAATAGAAAAAGAAGAAAAGAAAAGAAACAAAACAAAACAAAAAGAAAATCCTAAAGTTCCATCCACGCGAGCGACCACCCCTCGCTCGCTCCCCCCCCACTCCCCCCTTTTGCAACGCCCCGTCAACGAGCAGCTGCAACACTGCACACTGCATCATAGAAAACAGATCAACTTCATAACCGATTCACTTTTCGATTCACTTTGATCTTCCCGAAATTAATCTCTCCCTAACGTCATTAGAATATTCCATGATATTTTTTTTTTTTTCTTTTTTTCCATCAAGTGAAAAAAAAAGAAAAAAAAATTGCAATGATAATAACGTTATCAAGGATAATCTTTAAAGCTTTACGTAATTTTGCATTGATCTGATTCGCCCAAAATGAGGTTGAAAGGCATGACGATTCGTGTTTATTACGGTTGTTGGTTGACTAACTCTAAACCAAAATGAATTATTAAATCAACGAGCAGATAAAAGAGATATTAATGCAGTAGCAGGGAAGTAATTATGGTCACATGTGCAATGGATACTGCAAGGGATAGCAATATCAAGTCGAGTACTAGTGGTAATACCAATGCTGTTATTGATGGTCAAGATAACGATGGTGAGGATGATAGTAACAAAGAATAATCATTAGAAAACATTGATAATAAGAATGATAATGATGATAATGATTATCATTAACAACAATAATGGTAATAACAACAACAATTATAATAATAATAATAACAATAATAATAATACTGATAATAATAATAACAATAGCAATGATAACGATATTAGTGATCTTAAGGATAAGACGAGCAAAAATAATGATGATATTAACATTAATCACACTAACAAAAAGGAGATAAAAGTAACGATAGCTAGAATGATAAAAAATGATAATGGTTATAACAATAATAATAAGAATAACAATAATTGTATTTAAAATAATGATAAAAACAATAATAACAATAGTGATATTTAAAATGATAATAAAAAACAATAATAACAATAATGATATTTAAAATAATTATAAAAACAATGATAACAATAGAGATATTTAAAATAATTATAAAAACAATAATAATAATGATCTTCAAAATCATCATTAATGATTGCAATAATAAAGAAAACAAAGACACTCCTAACAACAAAAGACCTGAAACAGAGTCTTAGTTCGCAGGATCCGCCAGCGCTTCCTCGGGCGGCGGGGGGGGGGGGGGGGGACGCGAATCAGCTCCTGATGCGGCCGGCATTCGGTGCTGTCAGCGATGAGTCGTGTGAATGACAGGTGTCAGCGTCGGGGTGTTGGCAGGGGGGGGGGGAGGGGAGGGGGAAGTGGCGCGAGGTGGTGAGGGCATTTCCAGGCTGATTTGTGCATGGCGGGTTATTAGCCTCTGCATGACTCGGGGAGCTGCCTGCGATTCATTTCGGGCGGTGTGTTTAGAAATGAATTTATGTAGGGATATATATATATATATATATATATATATATATATATATATATATATATATATACACATATATATACATATATATACATATATATATATATATATATATATATATATATATATATATATATATATATATATACATATATACTACATATATATACATATATATATACATATATATATATATATATATATATATATATATATATATATATATATATATATATATATATATATATACACATACATATATATACATATATATACATATATATATATATATATATATATATATATATATATATATATATATATATATATATATATATATACACACACATATATCTACATTTATATACATATATATATATATATATATATATATATATATATATATATATATATATATATATATATATATATATATATATATATAATAAATATATATATATATATATATATATATATATATATATATATATATATATATATATATATATATATATATGTATATATATATATATATACATATATATATATATATATATATATATATATATATATATATATATATATATATATATATATATATATATATATATATATTTATATATATATATGTATATATATATATATATATATATATATATATATATATATATATATATATATATATATATATATATATATGTATATAAATGTAGATATATGTGTGTGTATATATATATATATATATATATATATATATATATATATATATATATATATATATATATATATATATGTATGTATGTATGTATATGTCTTTATATATACACACACGCGTACGCACACACACACGGCCACCCCCTTTCCCAAATTCCTCAAATTTACACAAATTAATTCACACTAATTACCACAAATTCACACAAAGCCCCAACTCGCTTTGAACCTCCCATTCCCTCACTCTCCCTCCCTCTTTGCCTCTCCCCTTCCCTCCTTCCCTCTCCCAATCTTCCCTCCCTCTCCCTCTCCCTCTCCCTCCCTCTTTTCCTATCTCCTTCCCTCCTTCCCTCCCTCCCTTTTCCCTTCCCTCCCTCCCTCTCTCTCTCCATCCATCCCTCCCCCCCCTCTCTCCCTCTCCCCTTCCCTCCCTCCCTCCCCTTATCCTTCCTTCCCTCTCCCTATCCCTCCTTCCTTCCATCCCTCTCCCCCTCTCCTCTTCCCTCGCTCCCCTTATCCCTCCTTCCCTCCCTCCCCTTATCTCTCCTTCCTTCCTTCCCTCCATACCTCTCCCCCTCCCTCTCCCCTTCCCTCCTTCCTCCCCCCTTCCCTCCTTCCTCCCCTCTCCCCTTCCTCTCTCCCTCTCCCCTTCCCTCCCTCCCTCTCCCCCCCTCCTACTCACCCCCCCTCCCACCAAGCGAAAACAACATCCGGGACACTCAC